TTCTGACATGGACCTTGCCCCTGAGGAAGCCCTGAGTGTGTCAAATGCTCCCCACACGGGCACAGGTTTCCATCTTGGGTGATCCTGTGGTTGCAGATCCCACCATGGGATGTCCCACCCCCTGCCCAGCCAGGCCCAGGCTGGAGGTGACACTTCCCTGGGGTGATGGGCACATTTGCTGTGCCCCCAGCTCGGGGCAAGAGCTGCTGCTGCCACCCGAGGAGCTGCTGTGGTGCCTTTGTCACAGGGGGCACCCACAGGGACACCTCCCTCCTGCCCATCCCTCACTCTCCTTACAGGGCACCACCTGGTTTTTAGGAGAACACAGATGTGAGGAAGTGGGTTGGAGTGCCCTGAGCTCCAGGTAACGTTCAGGAACGTTCAGGAACACCCAGCCTGGGTTCAGGAACACTTTTGCTTTATTTACCACGTCTCTCCTCAGTTCTGGGATGTAACTGTGTTATCTGGTGAGTGACAGCAGTGGGATGGATGGGATGGGAGTTAATCTGTGTCCACCATCTCTCTTGATTTCTCCTTCATTTCCATTTCTTTTAAAAGTGGAAGTTTCATTTAAAAAGCAGCACTTTTCTATTAAATAAGTAGCAGAGAAGAATGACTGCCTCTGTATCTCATCAGCAGTGAATCTTTTTAAAACCACTCAGGAGACAAGGCTCAAATCATATATTTAATAAGAATCACTTGGATATCACTTCTTAAAGCAATTAACATATTATTAGAGATAAGCCAAGATGCAACAATTAGACCCAGATTTCTAAGACAGATTCCTACGGTTTCGGAGGGCGCAGACCTCGGGCTGTGGCCTCAGCAATCACCTCTGCATGTCACAAACCAGTGTCAGAATTTCACTTACACGGACACAGCGGATTAAATTCTCACTTTCATTCCTCATTTTGCTCGTGCTGATTTTCCTGATTCTTCTCAGTCGTTGAAAGCTGCAATTACAGCAGCGACAAGGGGCAAACACCTCAGCGGGGGGCTGAGCGATCATTTCCAGCTTCCCCTTCCTTGTGGAGAGTCAGGGGGTTGTTTTCCACATGGAGCACGAAGGAAAGGCATCTATGAACCTCAATAAAGAATCAAAGAGCTCATCACCAGCAGGATCCTCGTCTTGTGCCCCCGAGTGCAGGGATGGCACAGATGGCACAGCAGGATCCTCGTCTTGTGCCCCCGAGTGCAGGGATGGCACAGATGGCACAGGGAGATGCTCTGCCGGGGGCTGCTGGACACAGGGACATCCCAGAGGGGCTGTGGGGACAATCCAGAGAGCGAAACACAGCCTGTCCCTCCTGCCTGGCAGCTGGAGCAGCTCCTGCCCGGGATGGGAGCCGAGGGGAAGCCACACGTTCAGTGGTGCTGCCGGCACAGCCGGAGGGCTGGGGGTGGCACCTCATCCCACCAGATTAAATGTGACAAAGCCCATCTGCTGGTGCCCTGGGCACTGGCAGGACTCGAGCTGGACTGGGAACTAGGAATTCTACCATATTTTTTGTTGTTTATCCTGAAACATTCAGGCTTTTCCCTCCTCTGACCCACACGTGGCTGCCGCTGGTGACTGACAGCAAACTGATTGCTCAATTAAAGGGCTTTTGAGCAGTTTGACCAACCCCCCGGACCTGCCTGGAGTCCACTTCAGCAGCAAATTGCTTTTCTTAGAAGGCAGCAACAAACGGAAGGGGGAAAACATATCATGCATCTAAAGATTTGTGATCATATCAGGTTGGTAAGGGCTGAGATTTATTACACGAGAGATGATGCAACAGCGAAGAAGGAGAGCAAAATTCTACAGTGACTCCCTACTTTGCAGTTCAGGACAACTAAGAGGTTTTACTTCATTAAGGAAGGCAAGGGGAAAAAATCAGGGACAACCCCAATGCTTGAGGGAGCCCTGTAAAGCCTAAATGAACAATCAGTCCTACGTTGCTGTAGAAGGAACAATGAAATATATCTGCTTCTGTTCAATAAATTACTAAAACATCAGTTGTAAACCTGCTGCATGGCATTGAAAATTAAACTCATTAAACATCCAGGTAGCTTCATCCTGATGCAAATGGAAGACAGGCATGAGTGCTCTGCAGCAAACAACTCTGTGCACATCCCATCTTTGGGAACCATATTTACACATACATCTCATATATTAATATATTTTAGTGCACCCTAGCCAGAGGGCAACCAGAAAGAGTATTATTCTGTGAGAAGGACAGGAGAAGGGCTGGCTTCTCCTCTCTGCTGGGCAAGGCCTGTGTCCATCCATGGGCAGCAATTGTGCAGGACCATGTTTCCCTTTTCCAGGTGAGCCAGACACCAGGGCCCCAAATAATGGTCTCCTGTGACAGCTGGGTGGGTTTGGGAGCCAAGAGTTGGCAGCCAAAATTACTGTGAGACCAGTCCACCATATTAACAAGCCTGAAGTGACTTGCAGGTCAAGAATTTCAGCCAAAGTGCCATTTTTTGGTCTCTTGCCCTCCCTCTCTGCTCCTTCCAGAGCTTGGGAAGGTTCAAAGGGACAAGGACAGTCTGGGGAGGGCCTTGACCACGGTGACACATGGAGAAGGCAGGACAGGGAAGAGGACACCACTGCAGAGTTAGGGAGACCACCATTCCTGATGTCCCCAAAGGGTAGGCAGGCATCCCACATCGTTCCCAAGGGGAATTTGGGGTCTCCATGGGAGGGACTGGTGCTGCTCAGCACATGGGTGAGGGAGGGGGGGAATGGGAGATCAGTGGGTTTATTCAGTGGCATTTTGTTTGAGGATATCTGGGATTAAGAGCTGGAGGATGAAGGGTGTGTTTTGTTCCTCCAGCACTCAGGAAAGGGGCTGCTGGATGCAGGGGCAAGGAAGGGAAAAGAGAGCAAGGACCCAGCAAGACAGCACGTCCTTCACCCTCCTCTCCTTTGGGGCCTGGTGACCATTTTCCTCTCACAAGCACCCAAATTTTCCCCCTTGGCAGGCAGGTGTATCCAGGGTGGGTGACCCTGAACCTACCCAGCCCTTTTGGCAGGGCTTGGAGTTGTCTGGGAAAGCAACAATTCCCTGTCAGCACGACGCTCCCGGGGCTGCAGGAGCTCATCCCAGTCGTCCCAGCAGCACCTTCCCCAGTGCTCTGCAGAAGGAACCAGCAGTTCTGCCCCACTTTCACACAGCTGGGGTCAGCTGGGGGACACTTCAGCACAACAAAAGAAAGACAGCGATGCCCATTGCCCCCATGTCCTCTCCTGATAACATGAATAAAGCTCTGTTGTGATATTCCATCCTTTCCAAAGGAGTCCTGTCGGATCAGTCCAGGTCAGCTGTGGCTGGAGTCACACTCCCCTGACTCTTTCAGCCTTTACTTGATGAAGTTTTTAATTGTCCACCTTTGTCCTGTGCAGCTGCGGAGGATCAGATCGATTCCAGCCATTCCCTTGTTCTCCACTTCCAGGCACCTCCCCGTGCCCTTGTTCAGGATGGCACCGTTCTGAAGTGAAAGGAATAAATTAAAATTAAAGGATAGGGGGAAAGCATTAAAAAAATTAAGACTTTGGGTTGCCTGTGAAGCAAATCAGGGTGGCACCCAGGGGTGCAGACACGTCCTTGGGCTCTAGCTGGGTGGAAATGCAATTCCAACAATAAAATAATTCCTAAAATAAATAATGGGAGTGGAATGAGCATCCATAAAGCACCCAAGGAACATCTGGAACCTTTAAATTCCCTGTGTTGGGAAGGTGGGACACTTGTGTACAATGTAGATGATTTACACTCTGCCTTGGCACAAGAATACTGTGTTTTCATGGAGATTACCCACAAGGAATCTGGGAGTCATTGGCAGGGCAGGCCACATCCACCAGATGTAACTAGATCCACCTTTATGGCATCAGAAAGGAAAACTTCTGCTGGAAATGGACCCCAAATCCTGCCCCTGGTCCCTCTTCACCTTTTCCCTCTGCCTTCGGACCCGGCCCCTGCCGTTCCACGGGGTCAGGTGTCCCACACCATCTCGTGTCAGACGTGGGGCCCCAGCCCAGGGTTTGGGAAGCAGACTTGGAACACACCTGGATGAAACTCCAGCGCTTGTGGAGGCTGCTCTTGACCTTGTCGCAGTCCAGGAGCTGCGGGAAGCGGCTCTTCCCGTTATCCACCAGGCACCGGGTGTCCGGGAGCAGGGTCGTGGTGCCCAGGGCACCCAGGTGCAGGAACCCCTCCTTGGTGTAACGTGCCAGCTGTGGGCAGGGGAGGACAGAAAGGACCATCAGTGGGAGCGTCACTAAAGCGATACAGGAAAGGACAGAACTGTGGGGACGGGGCACAGGGAAAGCAGAACTGAAAAGAGGGGAAGAAACAACTTTGTCCAGCCTTTTTAGCCTTGATTTGGGTTTGGGGCTTTTTTCAGATGCAAAAAAAAAGGTGGGGAGATGAGACACAGGGAGGGGGTGAGAATAACTCTGAGCCTTAAATCCATGGGGATTGTCCTGCTCTGCTCTGCCCTGGGATGGCCTCACCTCAACATTGGGGTAGTTTGGGGGGACAGAATGGAAGGAAGGGATTGAGCCATTAGAGAGTGTCCAAAGGAGGCCACGAGGATGGGGAAGGGCCTTGATTTGAAGCCGTGTGAGGACACTGAGGACACTTGGTGTGTTCAGCTGGAGCAGAGGAGACTGAGAGGAGACCTC